CAAATGGTCCATTGCCGCCACTAATATTTAAAACAACCGACCCCATTCCATCATCACCCTTCTCTATTGGCGCGCTACTTTCCGCCGTTGCACCCTTCTCTGACGTGATACCTTGCACGATTTTCGAGACATTTGCATGCTGCTCCTCTGTTTCTCGCTTATAACAATCGAGAGCCTCGGAACGATGCCCAGTAACCCCCTTTATCAGCTTATCATCAACGCCTTCACAAAATAACCTCGAGCATTCTCTATGCCCACATCGCTTTCCTCTTAGTATTTTCTGGGATGCTTCACGAAGCCAACTCTATCATACTTTTACTGCTGCAAATCTCAAACCGGTCAGACGTATTCTGTTGCTCTATTGCAAAATATAAATAAATTCAAATATTAATCGCTATGATTAATGCTTGTTACTAACTTTTAAACAAAACTTAGCTAAGACAATTTTCACCTTTTCTATCCAACGTGCTTTTCCCAGGTGCATTACATCGCCGCTCACTGACACTGTCAATCTGATTTGGCCTTTCCAGTGAAATTCTCCGCTCTGCAAACAAATACAAATACAATGACTGGGAAAGTATTCCATCCAGCCCATCGTCTTCCAAATCTAGACAGTCGCAATCCCAATCATTGGTCTTTTCAACTTCAAATTCATCGTCATATCCTTCTCCAAACAAACTAAAATCTCGCTTTCTCGAACCAGACATCCTCGCTCCACAAATATCAATCAAGTAATAAAAAGGTAGCTGTTGAAAAAACACAGCCCAGGAATGCGCATACAAAACACAAATATGGTGTGAAAAATAATAGTACCACAACAATGAACTTGTAACTATCTTAATAGTTTTCTTTGTTCATAAACACCATAATGTGCATTAAGTCGGATAATACCCTCGCTCTCGGTATTATTAAAAATAATGACCTCGCGCTACGCGCTCGGTCATTATTTTTAATAATACCTCGAGCTTGGGCATTATCCTATACATAATGCGGATTAATGGACATTTGCATTATGGACCAAATTTTGATCTCAACAAGTCTAGATAAAACTTTCATCACAACTTGAAAGAGAATCACAAAATTAGTAATATTCCAAAGTTTCGTTGCGACATGTTGTAAATTGTGGATAATATAGCCTTGCGAAGTTTGCCGTTTTTCAGTCATTTTCTATTACAAACGGGAAATTGATAGCCCCAAAGGGTATTGGGCTGTCAATTTCCCCCGCGTAAAGGTCCATACAGACCGGACGTGATTCGGCAACGCGACGCGAATTTTCAATTTTCAATGAGAATTAACTTCAATATTTTTCTATGTTTTTCAAATATTCGGAACCACGTAAGCAATTTTAGCTATTGGGTCTGCATATCTTGTAAAATTTTTATCCGTTGACGTTTTTAATTGTTTTTAAAAATTGAAAATTCGCGTCGCGTTGCCGAATCGCGTTCGATCTGTATGGACCTTAATGTAGAATGACTGAAAAACGGCAAACTTCGCAAGGCTATATTATCCGCATTTTACTACAACATTTCGCAACAAAACTTTGGAATATTACTAATTTTGTGATGCTCTTTCAAGCAGTGATGAAATTTTTATCTAGACTTGTTGAGATCAAAATTTAGTCTATATTGCAAAAGGTCCACTGTACAAAATGACTTGTGACGCGACTGGTCGGACTGGAATTTGCAAAATAAAGCTTCGGTCAAACGAGGATGAGAGTCGATGAGAGTTGTAGCTGTCGTTCGCATTGGACCGCCAACTCTGATGCAATCCATCCGAACTCTCGTCAACTATGAGCTGGTTCAAATTTTGACGAGTTGTTGCTACACGCGCGGTAATATCCAGTCAACTCTCATGCAACTCTTGTTCTCGTTTGACCGAGGTAAGCAAGAAAAGGGCACTTTGCTCCCGGAAAAAGGGCACTTTGGAAAACAGGGGGCCTGGCCCCCCGGTTCCTACGCCCCTGGTGGCAATAATATAACCTCAGAATTGACCAACTTAGCTTGATATGCTTATTTCAATGTTAATTTACACTTTTAAATTTGGTTTCATTGCCATGCTAACCAGAAAGTGTTTCGTACCTGAATATCATTGAACTGAAAAGAACTCGTATTTCAAAACTGCGAAAGAATAACGATATATTTTAATATTTTCGATTCAAGTTGGCCATCTCGCTCAACAGAACACAATGCTCTAACAAAGCGTTTAATACTCATTTGAACCATTATTCTATCGTCGCTCTGTTGACGACTGCTTTCTTATATTTCAAGCACGTGACCATGTTCTTCCCTTTCACTCTTATCCCTAGCACCAAATTCACACAGGAGCTTGAAAGCAATTCTTCTCTACCTTTTCTTGACGTTAACGTGATGCTTTAAATAGTGTTCTTTTCTTTACCTCTGTCTATATCATAAATGCACTTTCACAGGTCAGAGTTGTTAACGAGTCCTATGTTGCAAGTCCAAGTCAAGTCACAAGTCATTTCCTGCAAGTCCAAGTCAAGTCACAAGTCATTTGGTCTGAGTTCAAGTCAAGTCACAAGTCATTTTGTCTAAATCCAAGTCAAGTCAAGTCACAAGTCATTCCGAGTGGCAAGTCAATTCAAGTCAAGTCACAAGTCATTTTATCGCCACATGTGGCCATGTTTTCCCACGCAAAACGGCAAAATATGTAAATATGGCGTCGTTATTTTATGTCAGAAATTTTACCACGAAATCGCGAAAAAAAACGCTTTGTCAGAAAATACGCCGGCACAAATTCTGTCGATGCCATTGATATGTACTAAGGTCGTTGCCCAAATTGTACAACACGACGATCGATCGATCAACACAAAGATTTTGGAAAACTAGATTTTCACTAGATATTTACGTTTGACTTGCGTTGGTAACAAGTCATTTCTTGCAAGTCCAAGTCAAGTCACAAGTCATTTTGTCCAAGTCAAGTCACAAGTCATCAGTCTCTTTAACAAGTCAAGTCACAAGTCACAAAAATTGCGACTCGAGTCCGACTCGAGTCCAAGTCACACGACTCGAGTCTACAACTCTGCCACAGGTTTATTTACAAACTCTGATAGCTTTTTACCTATGTCCTTTTATCTCTTGTATCCCGATATTTTAATATCGGATTAAATATTCGCTCACAATTCTCTAAAATGTTCACTTCTGCTTATCCACATATTTCCATATGTGTTGTTTTCCGCCCTTCCTGCCGTCTGTCTAGCTCCTTCCCTTTCAAAGACCAGTTTCCCTTTGCCCCGAAATCACATGTTGTGTATCTGTTCAAGTGTCAATGTAGTAGTGCAATGTATGTTGTTCAAACATGCCAACACATTCCCACAGTCACGTATTTCACAGCATAAATGAGTTTCGGCTTCGACTGGTAATGATCTGTCTATTTCAACTATTGTCTGCTATTCTTGCTCATAAACACTTGCAAAAACACCGGGTTTCCAAGTCTGACTTTAACGGGTACTTCTCAATAAGACATTCTTATTCGTGAATTAATTATTAATTTCCAAAATTAACCGAGTCCTTAATGCTAATATTAATCAGATCTACATCTCTCGAGTTATTCTAATTACACTGTTAACTTTTAATTACTAATTACATATACTTGTTACTAACAACACTGTCAGGTACTGATAAGTTTCTTTCCTATCTTTACGTTCATTTGCTGTTTCTCAAATTTTAAATGTTACAACCGTTTTCCAGAGCAATGGCAGAAGAACTGAAAGGAGTGAAAACGGACCACCTTGATAAAGAATGTCCAGCATTCAAACAAGGTTGCCCATTTTCCAAAGTTGAAGATAAGCAGCTGAAAGACGCCATTGAAAAATGTCCCGAATTCAAAAGTGGCTGTCCATTTAAAGACGCCAAAAGTCTTGCTGAAGTTTACGAGAAGTTGTCTCACGTTCCACATTCAGCTGGGCATGAAAGTGAATTATCTGGTCAGAAGTTGATTGAAATGTTCAAGAAAATGCACGATACTTCCGAATGTCTGGAAGAAAAGTTGGGAGACTGTCCTGTGTTTCACAAAGATCAAGGATGTCCATTCAAGAGTGTCCGTACTCAGGAAGGCAAGCGATTGGCTGAACCAGTTGAGACTGTCGGACATGACGAGGTATAGGTGAAATAAAATTATCCTCATTTTGGTATTGTTATTGCCCAGCACATCGAGATTCTTGTTATCGTTGTTTTTGTTGCTGTCGTTATGGCAGTAGTAGTTTTTGCGATTCGTGTCATTGATATAACTGTATTTACCGTTGACATTTTTATTGCTGTCATCGAATGTTTTCTCGTTGTACATGGTTCAACAACAACAACAATAACAACAAAAGAACAACAACATCAACAACAAAAGAACAACAACATCAACAACAATTATGGCAGCAGCAAAAATGACAGCAGCAACAATAACAGTAAGAACAACAGCAACAGCAAAAATAACAATAGCAACAGCAACAACACAACAGCAACAAACAGCAGTAGCAGTTAGATCTGTTTTGTAGATGTTGTTGCTCTTGTAGTTATTGTTGTTGCTGTTTCTGTTGCCGCTGTTGTCCTTTGTTGTTGTTGTCATTGTTGTTGTTGTTGTTGTTGTTGTTGTTGTTGTTGTTGTTGTTGTTGTTGTTGTTGTTGTTGTTGTTGTTGTTGTTGTTGTTATTGTTGTTGTTGTTGTTGTTGTTGTTGTTGTTGTTGTTGTTGTCGTCGTCGTCGTCGTCGTCGTCGTCGTCGTTGTTTTTGTTGCAAGGCTTAAAACATTGTATCTATATAAACTAAATTACTAAAACTCAATTTCAAACCTTGAAGCGAGCAACAAAGAAGTTGAAGACAGTGGACGTCAGCCATCTGAAGCAACAGTGTCCAGCATTCAAAGAAGGGTGTCCATTTGTCAAAGTAGAGGAAAAGCAGCTGGTAGAGGCTGTTGAAAAATGTCCTGAATTCCAAAGTGGCTGTCCATTTAAAGACGCCAAAAGTCTTGCTGAAGTTTACGAGAAGTTGTCTCACGTTCCACATTCAGCTGGTCATGAAAGTGAATTATCTGGTCAGAAGTTGATTGAAGTGTTCAAGAAAATGCACGATACTTCTGAATGTTTGGAAGAAAAGTTGGGAGATTGTCCTGTGTTTCACAAAGATCAAGGATGTCCATTCAAGAGTGTCCGCAGCGAAGAAGGCAAGCACTTGGTAGAACCAGTTGAGTCTGTTGCCCACGATCAGGTAGGAAATTCAAGAGATTATAAAGTGAAGTATCGGAGTCGCAGAGATTTTTGTTGAACAATAGAAAGGACAATAAGTACGGGGAAATGTCTTGTTTTGAGGTGGTGCTTGTCTGACTTTCACGTATACTGAACCAAGTTTCAGAATCACTGATGCAATTTTAATTTAAGCTTTCGGAAAACTGGAATTTTAACATTATTTCCTGGACATGATTGTTCCCCATAAGTGGGTAAACATTGAAACATAAACGTTGTCCTTCCCGACAATTTTGTTCGCCGAAGCAAGGGAAGACTTTGATAATTTCAAACAGTTTGTACATGACATATCATCTAATTTGTCTCTTTCGACACAATAAATAAAACCTAAAATTAACAATTAGATTTTATTTAGTGTGTCGAAAGAGAGAAATTAGATATGTCATGTACAAACTGTTTGAAAATAAACGTTGTTTCTAAACAAAAATCACAACCGGAAAACCCAAACGTTTTTGAAATTTTATCACGACTTTTTTCCGTTACTGGGAAACAGAAGACTGTTTCCACAATAATAATGTGAGCGATTAAACGGGAACAAATTTGAGAAAACGTTAGAATTCTAAGTTTACGCAGGAATATTGTGACACAGCCCTGCTGCTCCCCTCCAAAACATGCGTGTTTTAATATATTCTGGCTATGCACAAGGAAAGTTCTTGTCCTAATTAAAAGAAACACTAAAATTATAATATTGATACAAATATACGTACGTATCGCTGGGATTAATTTGTTGCTTATGTCCTTTGCCAGCACGTCAAGGAGGAACTACAGACGGTTGATGCCACTCATTTACAAGATCAATGCCCTGCGTTCAAAGGTGGTTGTCCATTTTCCAAACTGGAAGACAAAGCTATGAAAGACGCAATTGAAAAATGTCCTGAATTCAAAAGTGGCTGTCCTTTTAAAGACGCCAAAAGTCTTGCTGAAGTTTACGAGAAGTTGTCTCACGTTCCACATTCAGCTGGTCATGAAAGTGAATTATCTGGTCAGAAGTTGATTGAAATGTTCAAGAAAATGCACGATACTTCTGAATGTTTGGAAGAAAAGTTGGGAGATTGTCCTGTGTTTCACAAAGATCAAGGATGTCCATTCAAGAGTGTGCGCAGTGAAGAAGGCAAGCACTTGGTAGAACCAGTTGAGTCTGTTGCCCATGATCAGGTAAACATGTACGAGACGTGCTTAATTTTCCAAATGTAACATTTAGTAAATATTTTATTTTAATAACAGTGACTCGCAATTTTAAATATTAATCGTCTCAAAAAACAAGCTTAATACTGTACCTGATTTTTAGCGTCCAGGAGATTTTTTTGTTTGGACGCAATGAACGGATCAGAATTTTATATTGCATAGAGGTTTTTCTTGCATGTATTCAGTTTGATGTCCTTTGTTTCGAGGTGTACGTTGTTGTTTAGAAGTTCAATAACCCATAAAATAAAAAAGTCGGGACCTCAACGTACTGTTCGTTGTATGGTACTGTAGTGATCATCGTACTCTATGATGGTGTCTGTTGTATGGTGGTGTGCGCTGCATGGTGGTGTCCGTTAATTGTTTTGAGGTGTCCGTTGTACGGAGGTCTTCGTTGTATGAAGGTGTTCGTTGTATGGTGGTGTTCGTTGCATGGTGGTGTTCGTTGTATTGAGGTGTCCGTTGTCATGCTGTCCGTTGTATGGTGGTGTCCGTTGTATGAAGGTGGCCGTTGAATGGAGGTGGCCGTTGTATGAACTTCAAGGAAGTGTCCGTTGTATGGTGGTGTCCGTTGTATGGTGGTGTACGTTGTATGGTGGTGTCCGTTGTATGGTGGTGTACGTTGTATGGTGCAGGTGTCCGTTGGTGGTGTCCGTTGTATTGAGGTGTCCGTTGTATTGAGTGAGCTGTCCGTTGCATTGAGGTGTCCGTTGTATTGAGGTGTCCGTTGTATGGTGGTGCCGTTTTCCGTTGTGTGGTGGTGTCCGTTTTATTTCCATGCACTGTTGCTATTTGACCTTTTTAATTTTTTCCCATTTGCGATGTTGTACAGGTCGGCTTTGGGCATGTATTTCATTTCATGTATTTCATTTCATGTGTCTATGTTTGAACGGTAGAATATTTGAATAGGAAAGTAAATGCAGTTGAAATGCAAACAAACAACCCGAATTTTATTTTTCTTCCTTAGCATGTTATTCACGACCTAAAATCACTAGATACCGCTCAGGTTCAAGAGCACTGTCCTGCGTTCAAAGATGGTTGCCCGTTTGCAAAGACAGACGAGAAAGTTTTAACCGAAGCAATTGAAAAGTGTCCTGAATTCAAAAATGGCTGCCCTTTCAAAGGTGCGAAAAGTCTTGCTGAAGTTTACGAGAAGTTGTCTCATGTTCCACATGCAGGCCATGTGAAAGAAGTGTCTGGCCAGAAATTGGTGGAAATGTTAAAGAAAATGCACAGCACTTCGGAATGTCTGGAAAAGAAGTTAGGAGATTGTCCTGTGTTTCATAAAGATGACGGTTGCCCGTTTAAAAGTGTCCGTAGTGAAGGGAAACATTTAGTGGATCCAGTGGACTCCGTTGCTCATAACTAGGTATGATGTCCCACTATCCCCCATGTTAACCAACGTTATTATATATTCAAAGTCTATTCTCGTCTTATTATTCCCTCCACTTTTTATTCCACTTAGTCAAAGTCCATTCTCGTCGGGTGGATAACACAATCCTCGGCCTTGATAATTCTCGATATCATACGAAAACCGAATTGTTTATTATCTTGGTTCCCTGCATGCCGTAATTATGAATAGATGTTGTTTTTATTAATGTTGTTAATATCTTAAATAAATTAGTGAATTTATTTACAGAATAAATTATATTTTACATCGAAGTTTGATGTTCGATGAACTTTCGCCTGTTTCGGCGGTAATGGTCATCGAAAATTGCGAGGTCTGCCGCTTCCATTTACTCAGGATGCTATGGGATAGTTCTATTTCGACCTTCAAAGACTTTTGAATGTAAAAACTGTTCACACTCTTCCATCGAACAAAGTCCAATGTGCACACCAATGGTTTGATTTTTAACTTTCTGCATCAACATCGCGTATATCTGCTTTCCCAGAATGCACTGCGGCCCAATTTTACTTTCAGACCCCGTTTGCACGACACATTTTTGTCCCAAAAATTTTGTGACAGATATTACTTTATTTTCAGAATTCAGGTTCAAACAGTTCACTTCTCTCCCACTGTAATCCCAAGTGACTACTTACCTAAAACATAGTTAGTAGAAAATAAACATGGTTTGGAAGCTTGACAAAAGTCATTGTTCTATGTTTTTGTCCAAGTTTATGGAAATTTGTGCACTCGGATTCTGTATAATGAGGCGATTACCCAATAAGAACCTTAGTTTCAATCGCTGAACC